TTATAGACAATAGAGGTATATGACAAAAACAGAAGAAACGTAAAATACATACAAAACGTCACAATTCTACAGAAACCGGACCTATTCCAAATTCTTGGAGGATCGGCAGATGCGGACAGCAGTTTGTAGAACTGTGCTGCGGACAGTAAATCATAATAATAATAATAAATTGTTTTAATAAGCACACTAAGGGGTGCTTTCATAGAAATTAAAAATAAATTTTCGAGTGAATTTCAGAACAAGTAGACCGAAACTCTACAGCGTTAAATTTGTGCTCATAAAGTAGGCAGCCTCATATGGAAAACAGCAAGCAGACGGTAAAAAACTCCATTTTTAAGAAGAGCAAAATATATGTGTTTTGACTAGTATTCGAGGAGTAAAAGCTGTCGTTTATGGAACGTTGAATATGCGGATCGGACACGACCGGCCAGCAGGTAAAAGTATGTAGACGACATAAAACGGTCCTCTTCAAGGTTAAATTCCTAAACCGGGAGAGGCTCTTCGCTGAAGATGCGATCCTAACATTTTTCGGTTGACAACAGACCCAACCGTCAAAGTGGCGAGACAGGAGGGACCCAGCGCGATCAGTCACAATCCACTTAGAGTCCAGGCGGGAAGGGATATTAAAGGCTGTGGGAATCCTCAGAGCGCGGGAGATGAGACCATAATACTTAAATGCTGACCGACCAAATTACTAGAAGATGGCGAAAGTAGAGGAATACACCGAGGTATTATGATGTAAATTGTTGTCAAATTCGAATGTAAATGCCAGTGATTTTTGAGCAATTGCGTGTGTGCATGGAATAAAATTAATAAGTAAACATTATCCAACCATGCATAAGAGAATGATACAGGATAAAAACATGGTTAACATGAGGTGTCAAGGCAGCGACAGTTGGATAAGTGGTCCATTTTTGGGCTATATTGCTTCACCATCCTCATAAAGATTACTGCAGATAGTGCTATAACGACATCAGCAGGCAGAGTACTCCACACTCCAACCAATCTTCTAGAAAGGGAGGTCTGTCTTATGTCATGTCTAGCCCCACCAACACGTACCGCCAGTGGTTAACCTTTGAAGGGCATATGGAGGCGATACCGAGTAGACATAAATTTCGTTAGTTAAGTATATGCCGAGGATATGTTGAATATTCGAGATACTCGGAAAACGGCGAAGATGCGACGTAGAGAAGTATGCACGATGGCTTTGCTTGAAGAAATACTCATGTTATTCCACAATACATTATAATTTATCTCTGTGATCAATTGCCTCTCTGGTAAACTCTTTACCCTGCGCCTAATTCGAAGGATCACATTATGAGCACACATACTGGAGGACAGTCATTTTGAATACGGTCTATAAGTTCGAAAAAAGAAATAGGTACCTAGTCCGGACGCAGTCATCATCGGTAGTCCAGTCAGTTAACCGTGTAAGGACGTTCCTTGATGATGAGGGGCCTTGGGTCTACAGGATCAAAATAGTATTTTAATAGTATGCAAGATCCACTTTCCAGTCGATTGAATTTTACTCCGTCGTTTTTGAATCCGTTTTGTGAGACTGGAAAGCAACCATTTCGGTCGCTTGAAGAACGCCGTCTTAAGGTCTGATAACCTCGCCTTGCAGTCTGTCTTGAATCTGAAGAAAGTCTTTACGTAGCGAGCAGTGACATATATAATAACATGTCTGCCCATTATAACCCCGAGCGCTTTCGAGCCAGAAAGTTTTTCCTCCATCTTCCGTCCTATTAACTTGATAGGAAGACTGATTTGGCCACCAGAAACCGCGTAGAATATGCGCTCCGCAGTGCTATTCATCGATCTTCCACCTAGGCATTTGAGGAAAGACGCTCAATTCAATGTGCGACGAAACCATGTTCATTTCAGTTAATTACAGGGACGAATGGAAGAGACATTCAGTTTTACAGCTTCTAGCTCCCCATTTGTTTTTGAAAACAAAAGTGTGTAAGAAAGTCGGGAGAGGAAACATCAAACCAGTACAAAGGAAATTTCGAAATTGTACGGCCAGACGAACGATTTCAAGTTTTAGCAGCACTGACAAATACATGCACTGGTTTGCGAGTAGAACTTTAGCATGACTAAGCTCGAACATGCCACAGAGAGGTAGGGCGAAATCAGTTGTCCTCAAACCTCGATGTAAATTTAAGTAATCAGGTCCCAGTGATTATGTGCAGTGAGGCAGATAAAGAAAGAAAGTTTCACTGAAATATATACAGCAGTCTGGAAGGAGCAATGAGTTAATAGTAAAAGATGTCAAGACGACGTCAGTCGGATAGCATTGTGACGCGTAGCACTTTAACAATCCGGGTTCCCATTACGGACACTCACATATGTGGACGTAATATACAGGTCGCCAGGGCATAACAATACTTTACCACTCTGTTGGGAAACAAGAACTTCCGTGTGTCCAGCCCAGCCTTAGACACACCTAGTTTGAGTGAATGCCTCAGCAGGTTTGTTGCAAATGTTAACTAGCAAAAGCCTCCAGGTACAAGACAGCAGTCCTGACCGCGCATGATGCGGAATGTTTGCATCATGTCTCCTTGTAGCTGTCTA